GTCTTTAGTGTTTCTAGAACATTACAGTAAAACACAGTCATCTGTAGAATCTGAAGTAGCTGCAGTGAATGTAGCTGTAATCTCAAAGGGTTTTGGAGACATTCTCTCATTTTCTACAGTTTCTACAGTCATCTTTGCATGTGATGATGCTCAAACTGATGCTGAGTGTTTGTTTCATGCTCACACAAGGTGCTGGACTAATTTGAACTCCTGACGTTTTTATATGAGATCATATTAACTACAAACACAAAATATAAATTAAATGAACTCTGGAGACTGTTTTGTTCCCCAATGATGTACAATGATGCACACACACACACACACACACACACACACACACACACACACACACACACACACACACACACACACACACACACACACACACACACACACACACACACACACACACACACACACACACACACACACACACACACACACACACACACACACACACACACACACACACACACACACACACACACACACACACACACACACACACACACACACACACACACACACACACACACACACACACACACACACACACACACACACACACACACACACACACACACACACACACACACACACACACACACACACACACACACACACCTGACCACACACACACACACACACACACACACACACACAGTCTCACAATGGTTCTCTGATTCTTAATTGGCGCTGTAATCCTGAGGAATGTCTCTAATTAGCAAATACTCCAGTTCAGATTCTTACCAGCCTGTTCCTGGGCAAAACAGACAGACAGACACACACACACACACACACACACGTTATTGCCTAAATGATCACATATCATAAACGTCTAGACTTCTATTGTTTTTATATGAGATCATATTAACTACAAACACAAAATATAAATTAAATGAACTCTGGAGACTGTTTTGTTCCCCAATGATGTACAATGATGCACACACACACACACACACACACACACACACACACAAAAGCTGAGCCAGCACAGTCTGGCACAGAGAGAGACACAGAGGAGACGTTGTGGAGATGTTCATGACGTCCCTTACGAAAAAGAAGTTTATTCAATTGTGCTATTAGTACTTTTAAACTTAAAAATAGGACAGTATACTTTCAGTCTACTTTTCATGTACTTCTCAGAAATGTGCTTTTATGTACTTCTCAGAAATATACTTTCTATATATATATATGTATACTTGGCTATATTTGAGCTATACTTGTGCTCCGAGAATCCATGTTTTCATTGTTATACTGTAGGGGGCGCTATTACACACCTTCTGTACAGAATATCCAAAACATATTGGATACTTCTTCACAAAGTGAAGAAGAAATCGAAACAACAGATGCTTCCACATGTACTCTAACACGATCATCAGACATAAAACAGCATCAAAACTGTGTAACGTTATGGAATAAAATGCCGATCCATGGAGAGGTAATAATGACTGTCAAGCTTTGGGGTGCTGATCGACTCCATCTACGTTTTGATTATCATTCTGAATCCAATTCATAGTCATTTTTTTCAGATTTTTGTTCAAAATGTTTATTTCTTTATTTTTTTATTTATGAAACTTACCCACATTCAAGTGTTTATAAAAGACGAATGCATGAAGCTAGAATAAAATGTTTTTGTTTACAAGTAGATACCCTGTTCTTTCTTTTGATGTTTTGTATGTTCAGATATTCATGTAAGAAAATATACACAAATTAATACCTAAATAGGGACATAGTAGCATACTTAAAGTATGATGTAAAGTTCACTTAAAGAAAACTTAAACGTATACTTGCAGTATAAAACTACTAAACTAGTAGTTTACTGAGACTATACTTTAAAGTGTACTAAAAATGCTACAAGTATGTATTTAGTAAACTATCAACATACCTATAAGTTCACTTTTAGTATAGTTGCAGTACAAACTAAAAACATATATGTAATCAAGTTGTGTACTCAAAGTTTACTACTGTTATACTTAAAGTATACTTAAACGTATAATTTTATATACTAGAAAGTGGTCAAATTTAGTCCCAAGGAGTATTGAAATAGTACACTTACAAGTATACTTCTAGTGCACTGATATTTGTATACTTACTACATAAAGTATACTTAAAAATATACTTGAACTTTACTTAAGTATACTTAAAATAAACTTGAAGTATACTTCTTTTTGGTAAGGGGTGTTTCCAAACGTCTGCAGAATCTGATCTTATCTATCAAACAACATGAACAAAACATAAACTGCAGCAAACCAGTTTAGATTCATCAGTATCTGTTCACTTCAGTCACTTAAATTTGTGTGAATGTGATTCAACGGATCAAGTGTCTGTATCTGCAGGAATTTTTCTCTTATACTTTCCTTCATTAAGTCTGAAGTCTCAAAATATTTGAATCCACTGGTGTTTGGGTGATTTTTAGTGAATGTATGAAGTCAGTTCTGCTCAAATTCAGAGAATCACGTTAACTAAAAACAAACGCAGTCTTCATCTTCAACACTGCATCTATTGGTTTAGCATTTCAAAACCAACAAACTTCTGTCTGATAAATGTTCTGCACTTTAAAAAAAATTGTAAACAAAGATTACTGAAGTACATTTTACAAGATATTTTTGAGGCTGCTGTATGTTTTCTTTAGACGATCATGGCATGTTTGATGTGCTGTTTCTCTGTGTTTCAGGGTTCCTCACACTGGATTCTAGATGTTTCTTCTTCAATACTCCCAGATGCTTCTAGTGTTCGATTCAAGGATATTTTCAGGGTATATTTCAAGGCAAGACACCCCAGGTGAATAGGGTAAAAAATTAACTAATACACATCATCATACTTCCCCAGTTGATTGATGACATTAAGAATTGCACACATTTTATTATTACAAGTTTTCTGAGATTTTGTGTGTGCAAACAAGAAAATATTGTTTTCAAATACATATGCACTGATTTTCCAAATATATAAATATGAACATTGGATAAAGGCAGGTTGAAAATTCTTGCTTGATTTTCTTGACATATTAGAGTTGACATAAGATTTTTACAAAAGGGATTTTTTAGTTCTCTTTTTATCACTCCATAAATCAGAAAATACTGTCAACAGACAGAAAACAACTAAATTTTTCGCAATTTTTTTTTTAATAAACTGCAAATCAGTGTGAATGATATATGAACATACCCTTCAGTAAAATCCTTTAGAATATAAATAGGAATAAAACTCTAAGTTTTGGTGTTTGTAAGTGCTACTGAAGTGGAGAAAAAACTCATCATGTTTAAAGATTTCTATTTTCGCCATGCTTTTAGGAATGAATTGTTATATAAATCAGTGTGAATGTTATATGAACAAACCCCTCAGTAAAAACCTCCAGAATATAGAGAGGAATAAAACTCTAAGTTTTGGTGTTTGTAAGTGCTGCAGAAGTGGAGAAAAATCTCTTTAAAGTTATATATTGTAAATGAGATATAGAGATGCAAACAATCAAAAATGTTTAAATTAAGTAAAAAATGGAACAGTTTATATTTGATGTGTTTACTGATTATATCCTCATCAGTAAATGTATTTTATATGTACATGTGGCTCTTTGTCAATGCAGCTGAATCAGAACACAACTGAATCTGGAGCTCAAATAGAGCCGTGATGGTTTATAATAGGTACATCACTGTCAGAATAAATCTGAGACTTTATCTGTCCACTGTAACCCACTTTACTCTTCCGTGAACTCTAAACAACCTGCGACTTGAATGAACTGAGAAATCCACTGGATCTAAACATGGAGCAGAACGTCTGCATCTCAACAGGATTCTACTTGACTCTCAGCTGAGAATGACATTTAAAGTACAATTCAATTATACAATTTGAGTTGAGGCAGCAATTCTGCAACATTAAATTAATGTAACAAAATAGAATTAAAATGAACTAATAATAATAATATAATGAAATAATAATAAACACTAATAATCTGTGTACTATTTAAAATTGACAATTTGAAAAATTATTTTTACAGTGTGTTTAAAAAAGTGAAACAGTATGCATGATTCCATGCTGAACAAACAGTGTGTTCGTATGTTCTGATCCTGCACTGCCTCCTGCTGGTCATCTCCGTTCTGCTCTTTCTGATCTTCACAATCAGATTCAGCTGCACATCTTTAATATCTGATCAAACTGTTGCTGTTAGAGGATTTCCACAGATATCAGAGATGGACACAAAGTTACTGGCTGAGTCCAGAAGCTCCAGTGAAGCAGCTGAAGCTTGGTTCTCTCCTGCAGCAGGTCAAGAGAGTTTCAGGACTTCAAAGATCTTCATCATCATGAGCGTCAGGAGTTTCTGTGCTCTGCTGCATTATTGTACAGGAAGTACAGTCAGGCTGCACAGACGACACACGCTGATGCACTGCAGCACTGAGCGTGTTCAACACACACACACACACACACACACCTGTCTCTCTCCTCTGTTTCTTTCTTTCTTTCTCTCTATGTTGTTTGATTCTCACACACACAACAAATAGTCTAAACTGAGATACTTTCACACTTGGGTTTTATGTTCTCAAACTCTCTCTCTCTTTCTCTCTCTCTCACACACACACACACACACACACACCCTAAACAGGAAATAAAGCGAGATGTAAATGAGGTGAGACAGAGGAAGAGGTTTTCCTGCAGCAGTGAACACACACATGCGCTTCTTCAATCTAGCGCCACGTTGTTGTAAAACACACCTTGGCGTATCAAATCGGATTCTCCAACCCCTTCGCCGATCGATAGGTCGCAAACAACATTATAGCCCCTAATTGTGATCCCCACACGACTTCATATGATCGATCCCGTGTGATGCGAGCCCAGCTTAGGTTCCCACGGCCGCCCATGTGCTGTCTAACTCCGCTGGGACTGCAACACTTCTGGCTTCGCCTGCGCCATCTGGCTTGTCGGCCCATACCGTTACAGGTTCTTTAACATGCTTCTAGTCCAACTTAGACGCGCAGCAGTGAGCACACACACACACACACACACACACACACACACACACACACAAACACACACACATGATCTGTGCTCTTCTGTGTGTGTTTGTGTGATGATGGACGTTCTGGAGATCTCCACACGAAACCCTCAGGATGACTTTGAGATTCTGCTGCGGGTCGGTGGAGGAACGTATGGAGAAGTTTATAAGGTACCTTTCTCAGTCTGATTCACAGCTTTTAAAGACAGGGGTTTATAAGAGGATTGTGTGCATTTCGGGTCTCTGGTGAGGTGTGTGTTGGTATTCAGAGCAAAAGTTATGCATCTCAGTTCATCTACTGTGTTTAAATAGTTTTGTGTTGTTTCTGGTAATTCCCTCACCTTTTTGTGTTACATGAACCACAAACGGAACAGAAACATTCAATCTGTCAATCATAAATATTTAGTTTGTTTCCTGCCTGTCTGTCTCGTTCTCTGTCCGTCTTTCATTTTTAAGGCTGTACTCAGTCTCATCCTCTGCCTATAAATGTGTGTATCTCTTTTCACACTGACTCAGAGGTGTGTGTGTGCCTGCTTAACCATAATGTGGGAACAAATTTGTACCCAGAAATGAGCAAAACCTGACAAAACTTCCTGAAACCCTCCTTTTGGGTACGTTAAACCAGTATATAAAAGAACTGAAGTCCCCGTTTATAGAGCTATATAAGTTTGTAGACTGCAAAAAAGTATTTGCTTGCTTAGTATTTATGTCTTATTTTCAAGTACACATATATAAAAGTTCTTAAATCGTGATACAGTTACTTGAGAGGCAAAAGTTTTTGCTTAAAACAAGAACAAATATCTGCCAATGGGGCAAGAAAAAATTAACTAATTCAATGAGAAAACAAGATTATTTTTTGACACTATTAGCAAGTTGTTTTCTTGTTTTATGCAAACAATTGTGCTTAATTTTTAAGAAAACAAGACTTAAATATCGTCATTTTGTATCTCAGGTAAATGCATCTTGATTTAAGTACGTTTAGATATTTGAACTAGAAAACAAGACAAAAATACAGAGAAGAGAATTTTTTGCATATATATATATACATATATATATATATATATATATATATATAAGCGACAAATTTGTAAACTAAGGTTTCAAATGCATGTTTCTTTTGTTGCATTTGTTACATTCATGCATCTACAAAAATACAGACGTTTTCTTTGAAGGTTAGGCTGTAGCATTTATAATTAGATTAAAACAGTATTTAGAGAGGTGTGTAAATGTGTGTGTTTGTAGCTAAATATACTCTGGGGACAAATTTGTACCCAGAAGTGAGTTAAATCTGACAAAACTTGTGTGTGTGTGTGTGTGTGTGTGTGTGTGTGTGTGTGTGTGTGTGTGTGAG